GTGCCCTGGAATTCTGAGGCTGCCGTACTAATTATCTGCTAGTACTTAAACAGTTCAGGGGCTTGCCATGGCTGGGAGCTGACAATGACCAACGCATACACGGTGAAGGCATCCAGCCACTTATGAAAACAGTCAATAACGGCTTTCCTCTTGCGAACTATGGTCCACAGGAGCTGTGTAAATTACAAACAGCTGCTAAGTATAACTTAATAGTGCCATGTTTAACTGTCCTAGCCAGATTTATGAGGCAAAATACATCAATGTTCCTTACGAAGCTGGGAGAATGTCACTCTACTGAGACATAAGCCTGTTTGAAAGGCAACACTGAATAAAACTTTTTTCACCTGACACATAAGTACGGTTGGTAGTCCTGCCAGTTCCCACTTTGCGTACCTCTGAACCTCTTCTGTCAAAGGGTCATTAGTGAAGGCGGAATGGTATGGGATTTTTTTGTGCCTTTGAAGCCACTGCCCGGTAACGTTCGTCCTGAAAGCGGGAGAGGGCATCAGTGATGTCGTTAGAGACCCCAGGGAAGTGGTGAGCCCCGACAAAGGAAATTGTGTTTCATAGAAAGGAGTAAAAGGAACCTCATGAGGTCTATTTATTTAAGAGGGGTCTTTGAATGACCTGAGTTGATAATGGCGACTACCAATTCATTATCGCACCAAAATTGAATTGGCTTGCCAGAAAAATGTGGGAACCAGAGTGTGTAAGCCTCTACTATAGGAAAAAGTTCTTGCCATTCAATGCTGATACCCATGGTGGGCCTTAAACGCATGTGAGGGAGCCATTTCCCCTGGAACTATTGACTAATAAATAACCCCCAAACCCGACCGACATGGCGGCATCCATGTATAGTTCCAAGCCTGGGGAGGAAGTTACACTAGAATCTAGGAAAATGGAACGCCTGTTCACTCTGAGAGAAAGGCCTTCCATATGGTGAGGTCCTTAAAAAATTCCTTGTTGAGCCGTATATTGTGAAAACAGCTGGGAGCCCCCCGGGTAAGGTTAATCAAGAGTTGCAAAAAGGTTCTACCCGGAACGACTGCCTTACACGCGAATATTGAAGGGTGCCAATAAGTGACTGGAGTTCAACTAAGCGAACTGAGCAGCGTTTCTAAAGGAAGTAAGCAAATCCAGGGTGCATTGTAGCTTATCTTTGGGAAGGCTTGCTTCCAATTTAATTCTATGCCCATGAATTCGAGTACTTAGGAGGGGCCCACGGTTTTGGACGCGACCACCAGGGCATGAATCAACATAAAAAAGTGAAGCAAGGTACTAAAGGAGGACAGACATTGTAATCAGGTGGATTCAGCCATAAAAAAGTTGTCCAGTAGATGGAGCACGTTCTCCAGGGCATCCCATAATTGGTTAAAGAGGAAAAGGGCTAAGCGGAGCCAAAAGGGGAGGTACAGTTCGACATAATTGATTATTCCAATGAATCCAAAAGAGATGCCACTCGTAAGGATGGATGGGGATTAGCCTGAAGGCTGATTTAAGGTTTGTTTCTGCCATAAACGACCCTGGGGCCCGTTTCTCGAAAGTCCCGATAATAAACGGGCCCGGTAAGCTGTCTCTGTTTACATTAAAGATCGAGGTTTCAATAGTTTTGCATCTAACATGATAAAACTGCCAGTTAATGAAACAAAATGGAGTTGTTTGCTTGCCAGGACCTGCGCTCTTATTCTTTATCTTTCGATTTGAATATTGATTTCAGGCCCGTAAAGTTACCGGGCCTTTCAAGAAACGGGCCCCTGGTCCCAAAGGATTTTAGAATGCAAATAGCATCGTCCACCCGAACGTACTTAAGGATATAGGGATCCTTGGGTATATGGTAATTAACATTATCACCCTCAGGATGGGATACTATGGGTGGTAAATAGTACACCACTCATTAGTGTTTCTTAGGTAATACCCCCACTGGGTGACATTGGAGATTGGGAAGGGGCAGAGATCAAAAGGGGCCTGCTAGTCGACCCAGTCCAATCTCCTTGGTCAGATTGGAGGAAACGACGTCTGGGTGCTGAGCAGCCGATTGTAAATTACAGGATACCTGCCAACAGGCCTCAGTTGTTCGAAAGGTGGATAGCGCTATCCACTGGATAAATTACTATCCAAAGGATAGCACAATTGGTTTTCGTAATACTTATCCTCTGCATAGCGATTTATTCAGTTGATACCGCTGCCATAACAAAGGAAATTAAGTAAATTAGCTACAAAATTACCATCGGGGTGACCAGAAAGTTCCTTTGCTAAAACATCAATGTTAGTTGCGGGTGAAACCGGCGTATCAAGTTTCCTTGCTTGAAGCTGGACTTTATCTCTTGCTACGATCGCTCATGTTGGTGAATCCGTTGGAGCGACGGCTAGCTTTGGAGAAACTCATGCTGGGAAACATGACGATGGAATGGTCGGCGGACCGGCAACGGCGGCAGACGTGCGGGAAAGGGCAGGAACGTGAGTTGCATCCAGATGATCTGTTGAAACGAAAGAAGACGGGGCCGTTCTTGGAGGACTAGCCGAAAGGATTGGCGCTGGGACAGGAACTTTGGCTATGGTGGGGGCTAGAACATACAAGGCAGTGGGGCTTAGCCAGCCCAGAGAAGGTTGCCGTACAGAGTTCTATATCCACCTGGTCCCAGCTAATGCGTAAATCATTCGCGACTTGAAGGGGAAAATGTTCGTCCCCTTCCGTTCGTCATAGGCGCCCTACTAATGATCTGCTAGTCAACTTTCTCGCATCAAAAATAGAGAACTATGCAGCTCACAAAGCTGCTGTCTAGCCTCAGTGTATGAAAAGGTTTACTAGCTCACCTAAATTCGAAAATGATGCAGCCATTCGACGTATAAAAAGCGTTCCACAGCTTGAAGTTTAGTACTTGCCACTAGCTTACAAAAGTACTTTACTGCCACGCGGACATTCGCGTGACACAAGTAAAGGCCGAGAGAAAGTTGGGCACTATTTTTCCTCATCTAACTTCTCCGGTCGAGTGAGACTCGAGAAGTCGTAACATGCTGAACAAGCAATTTCAATTTGACAAATTGTGGCCCCAAAAAGTAGCAGTTATTCTTTCTTCTATTAAGTGTTAAAAGTTTCCATTTTACACGCCAAACGACGAGAATTTTTTGGCTGTTTTACTACTAGCGGTCTACCACAGGGGACTTCCCGGGGGTACTCCCCCAAAGGGTAGGTTTTTTGCGCCGTTTTTGGTTTGAAAACAGGCATAGACTTCGCCCCATTTGGGTCTGGAATCGGGTACGGTTTTCGAGGGAACTCAGGGAGTGTATGAAAGTATTTGTCGTTTCAATTCTAAATAAATAAGAAAGAAAAAATATTGGAAATAAAATTTAAGAACAAATCTTTTAGTTGGCAGTCTAATCTAAATAATGATGACATAATTTCTTAGAGGCCGGGTCAGAAAACGGGTATTGATTTTAGAGGACAGCCACGGGTTGGTGTGAAATTAGAGTCAGGATTTGGAGAACCGGGCGACACATCCTCGCCAAGAATTCCCAGGAGTACCCCCGTGCTATGAGCTGAGCTATAGCGCACCAAGGCACCCAAACCACTTCCTTTTTTCCTCCCTTTTTTTCTAAATATCAAAAAATTGATACCAAATACGATGCACAGTACAAGTTGATGCGTATGAATAGATAGTGTGTTATGGAACGTAGTTTCAAATAATCACGGCAGATTTGTCAATTCAGTTGTAAGGACGACAAAATAGTTATGTCTCACACTTAAAGTAGACGTAACAGCCAAAAGACTCCATCGCTTCTCCTAGTAAAAGTTGCTTTCTTCGCGAGGATTTAAAGTCTCTGGCACCCAGGGTCCCAGGGTCCCAGGGTCCCAGGGTACGCCTTAACATGCTAAGGACACTTTATAATCTCAAAACTAAAACAAAACTTAAATTGATGCCCCGTCCCCACGTATCTTTTTTTTGTTTTTGAAAACGGATATTTTTTTCTCCGGTTTGGTCTACCGTCCACATGTATCCGGTGAAAACGGTCACCGAAAAAGCATCTTTTTCAAACACGCTCTGCAGAGTGAAAAGTTTTGAAAACGCCGGCTTTTTGTTTACGTGTGGACGGACGGAAATGGAGGTTTTCGAATACGATGATGACGACTTATAGTATGACGCATGCTCAATAAGGGACGCTATCGTATTCCATCGTTTTAGCGTTTTTCGTTATTTTTGCATACAAATTTAGTAGGAGGGATGGCGAAAACAACGGCTTGCTTGCAGGCATTCCCCTCCTCCCTCCTAGCGCGGTCTCGCCCCCAAATCCCTTCGCCTCCCACGCAGGCGACCCCGCCAGTTATAGAACTATCTACCTGTAAGCGACAAATACATCCAGTCATGATCCCCCTTCTACTATAAGTCCCCCTGTAGCTTTTTTTGACTTCGATTTATGACCATTTATTATGACGTTTAGAAGCTTAATTAAAAGCCAGTAAATGCAAAACATTTTTTGATCAACACTACTAAAGCTTGTTTCGAAGCGCTTTTCCCAATGCAGTTGAAAGCCCCCACAGATAATTAAGCCTTTTCGTTAATACGCCCTCCCAAAACCCCTTAAGAACGGTATTACGAAGATGTATAAGCCCATGGCTTATACAAGCAGTTTACACAAGAGAGAATAACTCTTGGTTTAGGGTATTCCGAGACAAAATTTGTTATTTTCACAGATTTTCATTTTATTATCTCTAATGCAACCCTCGATTGAGAGGGGCGGAGGAACTCCCAATATCCTAAAGAACATTTCTTTTTACTACAAAGACTCATACTGTATTTTAATACAAATGCAAGCTGTAGAGCGTTTTCACGTGACGTCACTTCCGTCACATTGGTGTCCCAAAACAATGAAACGGCAGCCATGTTGGGGTCCCAAACGAGTCCTGTTTTTTCCTTTTGTAAAGGCAAAAGCTTTCTTTTCATTCCAATATATTAGTCTTATTTGCACAGCCGCTGACCACGTGAGTTTATGTTCTCCACCACTCAGTCAAAACGCATATTTGATTCTTTGATTGCTTTGTTGCCATTGATATACGGGACGATCTTATAACGATGGCTGTGAAAAGTTCGAGCAGGTTTTTCGTACATCATATGTGGATACACGATCCTGATGTAAATCACAGCGAAGAGAGTTACGAAAGTACAAAGCAGGTTCGACACCAGTGTCACCTCGACCAGGAACTGCGTTACGTCTGAAGGAGTGGACTGCGCGAGCCTGGTAACTATCGTGCCCGCTACGGCCATCACTACGAGCATGCTAGAATTATCTACCACCATGATAGCTGCAAAATACAACAGATCTTATTAAGCTCAATGTTTAACACAGGAAAACAAAATCGAGGTTAGGTGGTAGCTACTCAAGAAAATTTTGTATTCGGTAATCTCGTACCCAGATCTCACTCTGTCTTACGTGTGAGAACTGCGCACGAGAGGTTATATTGAGTGGCTCTGTGCAGGGATACAACTGCTTACCCTTTTCTCTTTTACATGCCTGAAACCTGAAAAAGGTTCCCGGCTGGAGCCTCCCCATAAAGGACATTAAGGGGCGTACCCTCCCCTTCCCCCCCCCCCGCCAATTCCCCGCCCGGGGGCTAGTACAACCGAAGTAAAGATGGCCAAAGCGTCTTTAATCGAGAGTTAGTACTTCGACTAGTAGAACTTGTCGGTTATAACAAAGCTAATGGGAAGAAGGAAAAGATGCGAGCTTCTCGTCCTTTCCTTTAGATGACACAAAAAAGCCTGATAAGCCTGATCCTCAAACGCATTCCAAAGACAGAGCGGAGAGAAGAGAACCAAAGTAGGGGAATAGACGGCAGAGAAAGCATTCCCATCTCCTGCTCTTTCAATCTCTTTATAACGTACAGTCCTAAAACATTTATTATAGTTATATTTTGTGGCTCACAAATCAAATTCCAAGTGTGTTAATATACATCAGAAACCATCTGTTTCCGTAGTTCGTTCACAATGTAAACTAACAAAACTTACAAAACTTAAAATCTCCTGTTTTTAAAAAGGTCGTAGAATTAAAGAAAGTTGAATGTAAAGCCTTTTGAAAACGGAAAAGCTGATAAACTGACTCAGTACGTTCAAGTTAAAATGGTTTGGAAAATTATTTATCTACTGGAAATAGAGTTGAAAATTAAAAGCAAATGGGCAGTTTGCCTTAAGACTGTGTGGCTTGTCTGTATCAAACGTAACCTGCAAACAGGCGTTTTTTTCCTCGTCTCCCAAACAGAAAGGGAAGAAGGACACCTGATTACAGGTTATATCAAACGATAAGGAATCAATGCCGTTCGTCTTTGCTAAATTCCCGGACAAAGCCCTTCTCTAACCCTTTCACTGCCAAATGTGGCCAAAGGCAAATTTCGACCAAATTTGCAAATTTCATTTTCTAAAATTTTGACAAACAAATAGCATCATGTGAAAATATAGGCAAAGAGCTTTCATTTGAATGGTCACATCATAGGATTTCGTCCATGGACTCAAAAGTTAGAGTCACCTTAAAAAACTCCATCAAACACTCTGGCAGTGAGAGGGTTAATCGGGCGACTATATTTATTTTTCGGATGGTCTCTCGGTTATAGCACGAGAAGAAGTGTTTGCAAGACATAAAATAACATAGGGCCTAAGAAATTAGACATTCAAGTTTCACATCGTCCCTCCGGTGATCAAATCGTGCTTTATGCAGTTTATGTACTGATTATATTTGAAAAACCGGCGATAGTAACCGATGGTGTAGCGTGTGTGCGCCTAGGAAATCTAGTCACCACTAATTTGTAGTACTATTTTCTTTTTCTGTGATTTATTTCACAGAGAGCTTATTTGATTACATTCTGTACGTGGTAATACGTAAAGATTTCCTTAAAAATTGACATAAGACTTAAAATTTTGATTCCGTAAGAAGAATTGTTTGAACCGTTAAGCCAAAAACTTCAGTAAATCGCTGTGATCTCAACTATTAAAAAATATACCTTGAGACTTTCGCAGCTGGTCGGTGGTGTTTGTTGTAGCGAGATGAACATAAACTGTTCGTCCAACAAAGTGTCTTGATCTTACTTTTGGAAAATTTCTGGTCAAATCACTGAAATCAGCTACTGAGTTTCTCTTTTCTTCTCGGAGAACGTCAGTGATTATTGCTACGATAGCAAGATTGCGTTTGGCGAACTCGAGATACAAACTCAAAGACGAATCTTCCATTAATTTCGACAAATGAATGACGTAGCTTGCCCTAAAACATTGTTCAGGTCTTCATTGAAGGCAACAATGCCATTTTTCCGGGACTGTAAACAAAACGGAAAAAGAGTCTGCGAATATCCTGAGGCGTTCAGTCGCTTAACAATGAAGTTCCATCTGTCTGGTGAACCTCATGATAATAGAGCTGTCTATCTATTTCTAGGTGGGTTTGTAATGCTAGAATAATTCAGCGATTTTAATAGGAATGTATTGTAGGTTTCTTATGGAGCTGAAAAAAGGAAAACAGTCATTTGGGACTCCTGTAATATAATCAATCACGTTCATTTTATAACTTCAAGCGCACTGACGACCGAAATTGCACGATATTTAAGCAACAGACCACACTTTCTATGGGTTTAACGGCGTCAACTCATTTGGGATGTTCTGAGAACACGAGAAAAGCTTGTAAATGTATTATTCATTCAAAATATTTCGCCGTTTTGGATTGGCTCCAATACCCCGGTTAATTCTTCATAACCAACTGGTGCTTACCATATTAGGAAGACGCGAGCAATCTAGTTTCCAGGCACGGCACCAAAGCTGTTTATTCCTCAGCCTCGCTGGATAACATTCTCTTCGATCTGCTTAATTTTTCACATCCTACTCAGCCTCGTTCAATAATTGCTAAATACTCTTTGAAAGAGCTGGTTCATAGAGAGAAATTAACCGGCCGGAATTTCTGTAATCAATTAAAACTTAGTATACGCTTTTTCTCGGTTATCATTATTTCAACAGCAGCTATTGATCTGTTCCGAACGCTGAAAATTCGTTCCCAGTGTCATACTTTTCGCAGTATCACAGACGACAAATTAATGGCCCCGAGAACGAGGCTAGGATAAAATAAGCCAAAAATAGGCGAGAGATTTATACGAACAAAACACTTTAATAAAACATTTTTTTTAAAATGAACGATTACAAAAATTATTACGGTGCACTACCACTGTGCATTGTACCAAAAACTCCCTCGGTTACTGAATATAATAGAAACATTTTAAGAAATACCTATTTACACTCTTTCTTTACTATTCCCCGCTTCCCGTCTTATATCAAATGATACTAAACCTACCACACAAAACTACCTTGATCTCACGTACGTAAGTAACTCCATCATTACAGAGTGTAAAACTAACTCAATAAACACTCAAATCAAACCATTTGTGCCTCATTTTGTGCTTGTATCTTCGTAGCTTACATGTACGAGGCAAGTACACAAGCAAAAGCACGACTACAAGCACAAGATAATGGAAAGTTTGCTTTTGTTTTTCTAAGCCTATGGATGCGCGTCGCACCGGTTTACACGTAGTTTATCTGCCAAAGCTTGTTGGTGTCCATGCTCCTTAGTTTCGCTTCGATTTTAAATAGGCCGTTTCCGAATTGCTCCAAGTCTCTGTTTTAAAGCGAGGCTAAGTGTGAAGCCGTTCATACGAAATGATTTTGTATTCTGATGCAAATGAAACTCATAATCACAAGAAAGATTCTGCTCTAAGACTCGCTTTGGAAGAGAGGGGTTTGGAACTCGAAATTGACCAATTGCTATAGAGCAAGATAACTTACATCAGTGCTGATCGCAGACTTTGATGTATTACCTAAATAACTGTTTTGTTAATCAATTTAATTATCTGTTTGTTTTCATTTTAGTTATATAAATGACTCATTGCCAGTTTGAATTGGCTTAGAGTGATTATTTGAATATAGCTTTGCGGTGATCTTTTAAGTACAAAAGCCTATCCAAATAATTATAATTCTCATGTTTTGAAACTAAAAACAATCTAGTAAACCGTCACAGAATCTAAGATAAGGAAAGACGAATACTTTCCCATATATGATCGGACGCTGCATGCAGTTAAGCGGGCTCCGATAATCCGATTGTTATCTCCACGAGAAATATCTCCAGCAATCCTAATTTTCTGTGACTATATACATTTGTACACACATTTCAACTCAGGTGTTACGCCGAATCAAAGTTTCCCACGGATGTTTTAGTGAATTATTGTTGCAATCCCAAACTTTTATCTCGCAACATTAAATACTTGATAGCTAACAGCGTTAGTTTAGTCGAAAGTTTGGAACTGATTCTGTAAACCGTTTGATGAGGTATCCAGAAGCTAAAAAACGCTTGCAAAATTATCAAGGTAACCTCCAACACGTTTTGTTTACAATTTCATATTTGGCTGTGGTATTCCAAGTCCTTTAAACGACCATTAAGTAGTCTGTTGCATGAATTGGATTTCTGTTATCACAACGCCCTCCCTACGCAAGTCCCTCTCAAATGTGCTGAACGAAATAGAAAACGTTTGGGCCAAACTTGCGAGCAACTTTAAACCAACAAATTACTTTATAGTTACTGCTGTCTTGATTATAATCATTCACCAAAAACAAGTCTCGAAGATCTTTTTCTAGAAAAGATATAGCTAAAGAGGGTAAACCTTCAGTAATATCAACAGCCCAATTTGGTCACCGTACGCCAAGTAAAAAAAATAGATAGTAGTAATAACTTTTGTGTCTACAACACGAACGTAGATTGATACAATCCATATTGTCCTTATTTCTTTGCACAAGACAAGGATTATCAGATCTCGAGAATAAATTGTCTTCTTCTGGTTACACCCTGGGTATCTGCACTGTTTCTTGGAGGCGTCAAATCAATAGGCTTTTGCCTAGCAATAAAGACTTTGTCAGGTTCTTCAACCTGATCAAGATTCTTGTACTCTACTGCAGGGGATCCTGAATCCAAGCTAAGAGTCCCATCCAGATCCTGTTGATCTGGTAATTCCGATAACACCACTCTTCTGAGCTTTCGATTGGTCCTTTCCCGAAGTTTAGGGCTTTCCAGAAGGTCTTTAAGAGAGAACTTTTCACAATGAACTCCCGAGAAAAACGTTGGACATCTACAGGTGTTTCCCTCCAAACACCTTCCACCATTTTGACATCTTGGTAGACAAGTAGCTGCAAAACAAACTTTCCTTAGTCGGATGTTTTGGTTTACAAATAATGAGGATCCTAACTACTCTTGAAAACAAAAAGAAAGAATTCTCTTTTGCCCAAGATTGTAACAGCAAAAGGGCACCCAACGATTTTTTTCTGTAAGATAACTTTTCGTAGGAGCAAATATTGCCAGAAAATTCAAAGCTCGTTTATTAAAAGATGTTCGGAGTTTTCCTACGACAGAAACTTACGTACTATTATCAGAGATTTTGTTTTTCACATTTTCACTGAAAATACACTTCTGACGTAGTTAACGTTCGGTAGTTGGGTACCCCTGAAAGTAGCGTAGCTAGAATTTTCCAGAGGTACGCAAGTACTATAGGACGCACCGAATTTTGCCCTTTTTTACGAGAAAATTTCATTATCTTGTAGGGGAATACATTACCACAGATGACGTCATAGCCTTTTCTTTCTCATGAATTAAATGCAGTGATTCTCACTATCTTCCCTTTTGTGCTTTTTTAATACAATAGAAACAAACGACCTCCCTGGGCTTATACCCGAACCGAAAGTTAGAGTATGAAGTCTATGAATTATTCCCTAAAAGGAATGAGCGCCAGGAATTAGGGAACCCGAACTGGAACAATTTGTTAGGCAATGAAAGCGACAGGAAATAGAACTCGCATAATTACGTTACGACTAAGTGATTTTTAAAGTCGCAGGCAAGTTAACGCCGATTCCTTCCTTAAAATAATTCTCACTCTTACCTCCGGTTCGAGTATAACCCAGGCAGGTCGTTTGTTTCTATTGTATTAGACAGAAGACAAAAGGGGAGATAAGGAGAAACCACCGCATTTCATTCATGAGTTAAAGGAAAAAGGTTATGTCGTCATCGGCGGTAACGTGTTTCCCCGCAAGATAATGATATCCCCCCGCAAACAGGGGGTTAATTTGGTGCGTTCTATACTACTTACGCACTGTCTACCAAATCGTCTTCCCGCGGATGAATGTTATATTTCCGTTTATATCAATGTGATGAGAGGTCATGTGTGATGTAGGTCAAGCAGCAATTATGGCGCCCACATGTGGCAAAATCGGGAGAAAGTACCGATTTTTTTTTCTAAAAAAAAAAATTGAAAAACGTTAAATAAGAGTTAAGTAGGAAATTGCACTGTTTTTCACCTCTCCTTTTTACCTTCTGCACTTTGCTTTGTTTCTCTATTTTTTGTTTGTCTTAGACATTTTTTCAGATACGCAAGTGCGTACCGGCATACAGATAGCTACGCCCCTGGTTAAAATGCTATACTGACCTTCTGTTGACAGCTCGTCCGCTCGATTGTTTGGAACAATAATGTTCACAACAGGTCTCACTATTGCCTGAGCCTGAGAGCTGGGTGAGGCTGATGGAGTAAGTGGTACAGTCACATGTGTACTGTCCTCTAACCTCTTTTCTGAGCGGATATCGTCTGAAATGGAATTTTTAATTAACATTTGTGTTTCTAATAGAACTACAGGGCATATGGGCTTTTGTTGCATTCCATACAAATCCTTATAGATTTCGGAACTTTCAAAATGCGGTAAAATATTTCCTTAAGCATAACGGGGCCAAAATTTTCTTTTTTCATAACAGAAAATTTGAACTCTTTACAAGGACCACTTAACCGTGGCTGGGTGGCGAGAGTTGTCTTTCTCATACAAATCTTTTTACGTTTCGGCGGCCGATGCACACATCTCTACTTTCTGGATACAAGGCTGAAAATTAACAGGTCACCTAGTTTTCACATGCTCTTTCAGGTCCTGCTAACAAAATTACCAAAAGTGAACTGTTTTTGTGTTTAATGAAAGTTGATCACGTGACCAACTGTTGCAAAAGGCCTATGGCACTATGGGACTATTTTGAGGACGGTATTACTTCTTTCATTGCATTCATTCATTTCATTCATTCATTTATTTATTGGTTTATTCAGATATTTACAATTCTATTTTCTCACTTCCCACAAATAGCAAAGGTTAGTCTAGATGGGCAACGTCTATTTAAA